TTCATTCGGAGGAGTGGTAGAAGACCGGCGGTCCAACAAGTGACGCAAAACATCCTCAAACTCAGAAGAAGACAGGCCAGATACCCCATCAGAGGACAAGCCAACTGGGGCTGGAGTGGAATCAAGTATGCCAACTGCACTGGACTGATGGGCCTATGGATTAAAGCCACTTCCTTTAGACTGGCCGGACCGGCCATCGCGAGAACCAGACCGATCACCTCGACCGCCAGATGAAGCCCCATGAAGCTTCCAACAGGTCTCACGAGTATGTTGTGGCTTGTGGCAGTAATCACAGAATAAGGGGTCCTTTGTAGAAGGATTAGGAGAAGCACGGGGCAAATTGGTCCCATCTCGAGGAGAAACAGAAAGTAAGGCAGAGCGTTCTGGAGAAGCAGTTGGCATTATAGCAAAACGACGACTCTTCTCATTCTGTACATAAGCAAAGGCCTCCTGAAGAGAAGAAAGAGTATCCATGCCAAGGACAGGACTTCGAACTGGATCAAATTCTAGATTAAGACCTTCCAGAAACTTGAAGACCCTCTCATGTGCAATAAACTTCATGTAGCCAACGGAATCAGTAGTGCAAACCGATTTATAGTCTTGCAAGTGATCAAGACATTTCCAGCCATTGTTAAGTAATGTGAAGTGCTGAAGAACAGTCTGCTCCTCCTGTATGGAGCGCTCGATGGAATGACGCAACTCAAAGGTCTGCGAAAAATTGCCCTTGCGAGAATAGGTGGCAGCCACAGCTTCCCAAACATCCCAGGCAGTTTCCATGGACAAGTAGCCTTCACCAATATCCGGAACCATAGAATGAATAAGCCACGGAATTAGTAATCTCCTATTGGCTATGAAGCAGGGATACTCCGAAATGGCCCCCATATGCGTATCGGATACGAATACGCGCCCGATACGGCGGGATATGTATCAGATACGAGAAAAAAGTATCCAATTTTTTAAAAAAAAATTTTGAATTTCAGATACGTCTAGGATACACGAGGATACGGTTGGGATACAGTAGGTATACTTTCGGGATACGGCAGGGCAAAAAAATTATTTCAAAAACTTAAAATGGGGTCAAAGTATAAAATATCAAAATAAGATAAAATAAAATAAAAAAATAAAAAAATAATCAACCCAACTTACCTAGACCTAGGTCGAACAGTAGCCAGCCGCGAAGGAGGAGGAGTTCGTCGTCATCTCTCGTCTTGAATAGCAGCTAGACGGTCGTTGATCAGTTCGCGAACAGCAGCTCCCCAGTCGTCGATCATGTTCGTCCCCCTCTCTCTCTCTCTCTCTCTCTCGCTCTCTCTCTCTCTCCCTCTCCCTCTCCCTCTCCCTCTCGCTCGATCTGTCTGGTCTGGGTGGAGATTGACAGATCTTGATCTCATCTCCCCCCCTCTTGGTCAATCTCTCTCTCCCTCTCCCTTTTATCTATATCCCTTTTCCTTTTATCTATATCATCTGTCTTTGCAGTCACATATTTATTTTTATTTTTTTTATATTTTTTATTTTTTGTATGTATACTTTGTAAATAAAATAAAATAAATCAAATAAGATATTAAAAAAAAAAAACTTTGTATGTATTCGGTATTACTTAATAAAACAAAATAAATAAAATAAGGTAAAAAAAACTTATTAATAAATAAATAAATAAACTTATTAATAAGCTTTGTAAACTTCATCTTGGCCATCAATAAATAAATAAACTTATTGATAAATAAATGAACTTTGTAAATTTTTCCCCCCTTAATTTGAATTGCATTATAGTTGTTATGGGTGATGCTATATTATCTTATGTATGCTACATTACTAAAAATTGTTGAAGTTTTATTTTTATGTATGCTACATTACTAAAAATTGTAAAAATAATATTTTTTATGAACGTATCCCCGCCGTATCCGTATCCTACTTTTTCAAATTTTGTCGTATCGCCGTATCCGTATCGTATTATACCCGTATCCCGTATCCGTATCCGTGCTTCCTAGCCCATTGGACATAACCAGGATCATTGGGACCTGGTGGTTGAACCCTTCCATCAACATAACCTATCTTTCCCCTGCTCTTCAAAAAAAGAATCAGACTCTGCGACCAGGCTAGATAATTCTGACCATTAAACAGCGAGGTGGTAATTTTGAGGCTAGGATTGTAGTTTTCGTATTGAGTAGGCATAATGAGGCTCTCCACTTGGAACGTATCCCCGCCGTATCCGTATCCTACTTTTTCAAATTTTGTCGTATCGCCGTATCCGTATCGTATTGTACTCGTATCCTGTATCCGTATCCATGCTTCCTAGCCCATTGGACATAACCAGGATCATTGGGACCCGGTGGTTGAACCCTTCCATCAACATAACCTATCTTTCCCCTACTCTTCAAAAAAAGAATCAGACTCTGCGACCAAGCTAGATAATTCTGACCATTAAACAGCGAGGTGGTAATTTTGAGGCTAGGATTGTAGTTTTCGTATTGAGTAGGCATAATGAGGCTCTCCACTTGAGGTGGCTGGATACGAGTGGTGGATTCACTAGTAATTTCGGCCATCTGAATATGCTACTTATTTAAACCACAACCAGCAGAATCACAACTATGGGAGGAAGAGAACAACTGAGTAATGACAATTACAGGCCACTATGGGAGCATGAAAATCAAATTATTGCTCACATTTTTCGAATCTCTCACTCTCTTTTCTTTTTTTTTAATCACATCCATTCCCGCCTCACTTTTCTTTTTTTTTTTTTTTTTTATACAAGAGCCATAGAGGAACAAAGGGACTGCCGACTAGACTTAAACAGACAGTCGAACTGCCAAAAGGTGTCGTCTGGTCTTGGGTGAACTCCGACGGAAGGCGTCTGGTCCTGGGTGACCTCCGACTGGCTTCGTCCTGGCTTGGATGGCCTCCGACGACTGTCGGCTGAGCCTGGAAGGCCTGCTGCTGCGTGCGCAAGCCCTAGCGAAAGTCGTCTGGTCCTGGGTTACCTCCGATTGGTGTCGTCCTGGCCTCTATGGCCTCCGACGGCTGTCGGCTAAACCTGGAAGGCCTGCTGCAGCATGCGCAAGCCCCAGATAGCTAAATGAGAGACCGAAAAATGGTGGTGGTGGGTTGGCTAGAGATGGATTTTTTCAAAGTGGTGATGGAAGGTGGCGAAAGAAGCTGGGTTTAGGGTTTGGGCTCTAATACCATGTTTGTTTAGGTAAAATCAAAACTTGGTGAATGACTATCAATTCATTCCCTTTTATATTAATTAACATAACTTACAAGGAGAGCCCTAAGGCATGAAATCAGGAAACAAATAATTACAAATATATAAATGAATATTCTAACATATTTCTATGCAAAGTGTATCGTAGGCTATTAGAATTTTGTCAAAACACCTCATTTGAACTTGAATATTAAGGATAGAAATTGGGTGAAGCTACGACATGGAGCTTTATGGATGTAGTTTGTCGAAGTTTTGCTTCTTGATGTTGTGATATCATGTTGTTTTGCAAGTGAAAGATTTGAGACGACTTGTTTGATAATTAGACCTCGATTTCAGTATTATTGTCAATAGTTCGGAAGTTATCTTCACAGTAGTCTCAACTCAACAAATCCTCATCCCAACTTCGAGTTCAACTACATAAATGTTATCTTGCCAATCGACTGAATTAAGGGTAATAACTTCAGTTAAATTACAAGCTAACACGTCATTCCTTACTAACTCAATAGAAAATTTTAGACTTCCCCCCTCCCCTTGCAATGTTCTTGATGGAGACAATGTTACTCTTCCTAATTGATGCAGTTATTGGTCTTTGTTGTATATGGCTAAACCATCTAAATCAATTTACCCTCACTTTATCTTTGATAAGTACTACCTCTACCATCTCACATATTTGTCCATTCATAAATATTTCTTAACTTCGTTACATATCCACCTCAATTACACTCAATTTGTGAACTATGAACATATTATTTTTTAACTTTTCAACATTCTGCACCATAAGTACATCTATCAATAGGACAAGCCAAACTCGAAGCCCGCCCATTCGGCCAACCAAAATCAAGCCAAGATTGGGCATCAACTGAGTTGAGCTTGAAAAAAATTTAAAGCTTTAAATTAAATTCTGACTAAAAATAAACAACAGAAAAGAAAGAAAAAAAAAACTCAACCTATATAAAGTCTGGCATGTTTTATCTAAAGATATATGTGATTTCAATTTTAGATGGCTCTTATTATTTTAGACAAATATAGGTGACCGATATATATACATACGTGTCTATTGAAATCCAAAGTTTTGTGTTTTAGAATTTCATAGCTATTCAAAGTTGGAAAATCTTGGTGAATAGCCATGGGGCAATGCAAAAATAGGTGAACAAAAATCTCCTCACCTCCTTTACACATGACACACCATTGAATGTATAGGGGCGATGGATGCTCCCTTGGCATCCTTTTAATATAATCATATTTTTTTATCCCCCCCACCAAAAAAAAAACAAGAAAGATCAAGAATTCCCCAATTAACCTCTCAAGAGTCTCATCCACTGCCCCAATCCCTGTTATTTAAGGTTAATTACACTTCACACCCCTCAACTCACTGAATGCACGGTTTTAAAGTTGAGAGGGGTAAGATGATATTCATTGATAGTTAAGGTGTAATTAACCCAATTATTTACCCTTACTAGAGTTTCATGAGCTAAAACTAAAAACAAACAATTGAAACTAGTAAGAGCCTATTAAAGTTTGAAACTTTACTCTAATTTATTATGGCTATTACCTTGCCACGTTCTCTATTCCTTCAAAAAAAATTAGTTGCTACTCTTCCTTTTTTGAGACCAACGCAATTGACACTACTATAGAAACTCTTCCAAATAGCTTCCTAGTTGATCTCTTTAACATAAAACAAAACAATATTCCGATACTCTTCTTTTTTGTCTTAGTCTTTTCTCAATCACTCTCCTCAACGTGCATGTGTGTTGGTGAGAGAGAGAGAGAGAGAGAGAGAGAGAGAGAGAGAATAGAGTAGATCATCAACAAGGAATATAATAGCAATAAACCTTCTATATAAAGGTGTTTATTATGGAAGCAGAAACATCAAAAGAATAAAAGGTAATCCATACAGTTAAGTTTTCAAAAGCACTTCTGAAGCGTTGCAGCAGTAGTTGCTTTTCATTGTCCTCACCAGCGTAGAATGCAATTGACTCAGCATTTTCTCGAAGACGTACCAGTCCAAAACGGAAATCTGCTTCTTTTTTCTCTTGCAAAAAGTTTAAGGTTACTAGTCCCTGAAATTCCAGATGAAACATTTCCCACCATTTGGAGTAAATACCACCTTTTATTCCAAGAAGCTTCACTGCAGTTTCAAAAATATGACCGTCAAAGAAGAGGAACTCACCCTCCCAAGGAAAACACTAATTGCTGTTCCACTGATTGAATAAACAACAAGTACAGCAAACAATGGCGGATAGATACCGTACAGGATGTTGCTAAATGATACCAAATCTACTGCAGCATTGAATAGTGTCAAAGAGAATGAAAGTGCTGTCCCAGTAAAGGAACTTAGATCATCAACAATCCGCTGATCTGGATTGTCAATTATTGATTGGGACTGTATTTTGTAGAATGTCCTATTCTTTAGATAGCGATCTATGTAATAGTTTGTCATCCAAGACCTCCACCTCAAAGAAAGAGTTTCTCTGGCATAGTCTCTCTCAACACAAAAATCTGCAAAACAATTGTATGAATAGGATTGACAGCTCAAACTAAAAAATATTAAACCAAAGAAAAGACATGTAGATCTATCTCTACACACAATCAAGAAGTAAAAGAAAACACACAACTTTCCACGTATTTATCGAAAACAAAACAATAACAAAGGTCAAAAGCCAAGAATGGATAGCATGTTTAGGTTGTTCATAAAGAACTATTCTTTTTTTAAGGTTGTTCAGGGTATGCTATATTCACCTAATGATTTCAACATAATAACTTTGTTGGATAAAATATATTCATGGTCCCTAAAATATGCATTTTGTGTCATTTGGTCCTCCTTCCAAGTTTTAATTTTGTCTCTAAAATTTTCAATTTGAGTTAAAAATTTCCCAATTTCGTACGTCCATCTAAATCATTAATGAAATAGTAATAAAAAAAAAAACTATAGTCCTTAAAATATGCGTTTTGTGTCACTTGGGTCCATAAAGTGACACAAAACGGAATTGATAAAATTGAAACTCTTGTTTTTTTCATCTTGTGTTTTGTTCTCTCCATTACAATGTTTATGGATGAAATTGATAAAATTGAAACTCTGTGGACCAAGTGGACATGAAACGCATACTTTGCAGATCATATGGATATTTTATTACTGTTTTGTTTATGATTTATATGACATCTTTTAAATTGGACTAATTTGACTCGAATTGGAAATTTTGATGGATGAAATTGACAAAATTAAAAGTTTGATAACCAAAGTGAACACTGAATGCATAATAGGTGTATTTTATCCTAATATTGGTGTTTACCAATAACCATAAAGCAAGAGTCTAAGTGAGCAATACCTAAGAAAGTAGAGCAATTTGCTCACTGGAATTCCACCAGCAAAAGCACCGAGGTAGTACAACAGTTGCTTGGTGAACTGTTCTTGGTCTTTGTCTTTTCATGGGATTGAAACAAAATCAATGATGAATTAAGAATTCAGATACATGTTTTGGCAGTTCAATGGGCAGCAAATGAAAAGAAATAAATAAATGAATGAAAAAAGCAGTTAGACAAGGAGTATGAAAATAACTGTAATGACGGTAATAATAATAATAATAATACTTACTGGCAAGGGCGTTGTAGAAGTCACGGCCAAGGAAACTGAAACCGACACTGATGCCGGTGGTTCCACTGCAGGAAATTCAGCTTTTAGCGGCGTTTAAAAAACGCTGCTATAAGTGTCAAAAACGCCGCTAATTCTTTTTGCAACGCTTAGCACCAAGCGCCGAGGACGCGTCCGTCGCTATAACTTTATGACATTTTAAAAACGTCGTTATATTAGTATAGGCAGCGTTTTTAAAAACGCCGCCAAATGTCTTTCTTGACAGTATCATGACGTCATTATGATATTTAGCGACATTTTTTAAACGCCGTCATATCTTTTTTAAAAAATCTAACCGTTAATATTTAAGGTGTAAAGTGGCGTTTTTTAAAAAACGCCGTGATATCTCTTCTTTTTTTAAAAAAAAATTGTGCTAATTTATGTGATTAAATTAAAAAAATACATATAATAAAACTGAATAACACTAATATGAAATAATAACTTACATTCAAATAACAAATGCATCATTAATTCACTTTCCCATTCACCAATCACCATTACCCACAAAATAACATATCCACAAATGATATTTTAATATTACCCCCAAAAATTGTATTCACAATTCTCAACCAAAAAATTAATTACTACTTTGTATACAAAGCCACAAAATAATATTACTCTCTTCTCTCTCTCTATCTCTCACCACTCCCTCCCCCATTTAACACAAAAAATAAGAAGAAAGTGAACCAAAACACCCAACTCCCCAATCAGATCAAAGGAAAAAAAGAAAAAAGAAAAAAGAAGAGAAATAAGAATCCGAAGGAAAGCCCCCATCCATCCTTCATTGTCATTCTGAATCGCTCTCCATGCTGTTTCCCATCATCACCTTCATCATCCAGTTTCGTTAAGAAGGTAAGATAAAGTAAACATTAGCTTTTATCTGTTCACTTCACTAGATGATGAAGGTGATGATGAGGATGATAACAACAAGAATGTCTAATAATATGATTGGGGAAGCTTTAGGATACCTGCCCAAGAAGTATTTCATTCAACTCGCTCATTGAAGAAGTTTTTTCAATAGCATGAACCTGAAATCACATGAACCAACATTTAAAACTCCAAAAATCATTTCCATATTGAATGATGGAAAATTTATAAACAAAAAGGCTACATAATGTTGGACAAATCTCCTTTGAGAGTAAACAAAAGGACATTTTTAATTCTACAAAAGTTGAAATGTGCACATCCATAGCCATGTACTAGTTACAATAAGAGAAAAGGAAAAGAATTCGGACCCACAAACAGATAATACAATTAAGAACTAGAAAATGAATAACCCTAATTAGCATAATTATGTGAACATTATCAAATGCCAAAACATCAGAGAATATGATAATATAGCAGATAATTGACAACTAACTTCGTTCAATCATTTTAAGTCTTCAAGTGCTCTGCAAGAAATGATGCATCAAGATGGTCACAATCCTGTAATTATGATGAAATGGAGATATGTGAGTGACATCAAACCTCATCTGTGACTTCTATGTGCCCATCCATGTGTTCACGAGTATCTCTCAGAACTTCCAAGGTTTACTTTCTTGAATTTCAATAATATTAAGCATAATTAAATTCTATGCAGCCAAAATGCCCATGTAACTACAGTACATATCTGGAAATAAATTTCAATTTATTCAGAGTACATGAACTCATTAACAAATAAATCTCATATCCAACTAACCTCCACACCTCCAAGAAAGCAGAATGAAAGAAGATCCTTATACTTAAGTGGCAGCTGTTTTTCAGGAGGATAAACAAATAAGACCTGAAAATAAAAAACTGAGAGGTCATCTATCATATCCAAAACATGTCCAATGATCTAAAAAATTATTATGTTCAATGTTTAGCATAAAAGAATTAGCACCTGGGGTTCAAGGTTAGGTTCTACACGAGACTGATGCTGACCACTGAATGCACTTCGAAATTTACCCGAACCTTCAGACTTTCTCCCAAAGTACTGCTTCTGAAGTGCCTGAATATCACAATTAGGATGAAGTCCAACAACCACCATGCTCTCAAAAAGCCTTGATGGCTCTTTTAAAGGCCTATGATCCTGCAAATTTGAATAACACACTTAGTAAAACCAATGTTGCTATAAAACCTACCATAGAAACACAAAGGACAAAATTTTCATTTTTATTACGACCATCTGTATAAAAGGGAATGGGAACACACAAGAATCGAAGGCATTTGACGTTATGAGCAGGTTTGAACTCAAATTGCACAACTTCTTGTAAGCTTTCCATTCAAAGTAAGCACTACATGGTGAAACTACAAGATATATGCAAGATGACAACAAAGTACCAGAGCAAAATGAACAGCTGATTGCTAAAGAGATAAGTAACCTGGACCAAAAAGGGTTTTACTTGAGATAAATATAAATACCAGGGACTGCAATTGGACGCTTGCCCATTGACGCTTTTGGCTAGTTAGTACTTCTGGGTTATAAGTTCCACTTTTCACTTCAAGAGGCTGTGAAAAGCCTTTTAGTACTCTAGAAACTTGGTGTTGAAGTTTATGTAGTGGACTATTGTCGTTGTCATCTTTTGATGAGAATACCACAGATGGTCGGGGTGAACGAACAGTAGTGGCAGCAGCAGCTGCAGCAGCTGCAGCAGCAACAGCTCTTGCAACATCTTCTGTTGTCTGCATAAAGAGCGAAGCACTCCAGCGAGGGCTACCTGAATCTTCATTCTTCACCATATTTGAAATTTCGCCTCCTGCAAAGCAAAGATAAGCATACATAAATAAGCTCAAGTCCCACATTAAAATAAAATAAGAATTAAAAAATATTGATAAAGAAAGAAAACAAGGAAGCATTCCATAATAAAGAATTAAAAGACAGAAATCAAGACATGAGGTAACACCCTGAGGCATGAACTTAAGAATGTGCGTGAGAAAACAGAGAAGGATGCATAATTCTACTTTCATATTACAATCATTCTCATTTACTTTACACACTCAACACACATGTTTGTGAAGCACGCACACACACACTTTCTATGACTACGCATTTGAGTATGTAGGTAGAATTATTTTACTCGCACACAGAATGATAAAAAAAAATTCTATTTACACTGAAATTAATTATAAAATCAGATATAACATTCTCATATAAGTATAGTTCCCAAAAAAAAAAAAGTAAACCCATCTCATATAAGAGGTTTATGTCTATGTTTGTAAATTTTTTCAAATAGACATATATATGTCACTACTATCTTTTCTATTATTGGGGCATGTGGGCAACTAAAAATTTATTTTACATTTTTAGGGGAAAAAATATGAAAACTAGTACTAAAATTTAATATATATAATAAAAAAATAAAAAATAAAAAACAGGGAAAAACTTAGTAATTTAAAAAAATTCTTAATTATTACTCAATTATAAGAGAATTTTTGAAAGTTGAGAGACAGTTGCGCAGCCACCTCCCTTATCTATCCCTGTTCACACATGTATGCAGTTTTATTGAGAGAGAGAGAGAGAGAGAGAGAGTACTTGGAAAGAAATATGATTATCTTTGGGATTAATATGGCAAATCTTGGGCATGTTTTCAGGGTCTTCAGATTGCAAAAGATGTATCCCAATACCATAATTGAATAACCTACACACACACACAATTACATATTCAAAACAATGAAAACAATCACAAAAGATCAAAGGGTTATTTGTTTGATATGTTTTTGAACAGTTTTAATAATAATAATAATAAGACAGACTAGAAAATTTGATGTAGCATACCAAGCTCCATCAAAGTCAAAGGAATTAGGCCTCCTGATAGGGAAAAACCCAAGAACATTCTGATAAAAATCAAGAGATTTATAAGTGAACTCACTGGGTTTGTTCCATTTCCAGAACCAAAATTTTTAAAAATATAACTATAGTGGCGTTTTGAAAAACGCCGCAATAGATTTTTTTTTTTTTTTGAACTACTAATTTTGTGAGATTTAACTTCAAAAATATACCTGTAAAATAGCAATAATGAATAAAACTTTGTATAGACATATATTTATGTGAGATTAATATTCCCTCACATCTATAATAGTACCCCATACAACATCCTTCAAGAAAAAAATCCAATAAGTTCAATCCCAAAAAATAAAATGAGAATAATTTAAAGATAAAAGTGAAATTAACAGTTGAATAATAAAAAGTAATAGTGCCTAAGGCAAATAGGGTTGGGAAGAAGTTATAATGATTTCCACTACTCAAATCAATACCATAAATTAGGACAGATAACATTTGTCATTGGGTCAGATTACGACCTTAAAAGTTGTGTTTAGCCAAGAAATAATTATGCCTTCATATTCATTGGGTTAGACACAAAGCATCAAGCATTAATGTCCAGATTTTCTAATCAATGTCTACAAATTTCCAAAGTTGAACAGAGTATTAATAATACACATCAAATATTACCCTTCCTGCATAAAGCAAGAACCACCATACTGCTAGAAATTTATTTTTTCACCCCAAGTCATGCACCTATACCACCGCTTCTGAAGCATTTGGAATCTCTGCCATAATCATGTGCGCATTTGAAAGACCAGCATCATCACCTTTTGTACAGCCAACCTGCTCAGAGAGAGAGAGAGAGAGGATGAACTTATACTAATGGTAAAACTAGGAGGTTCAATCATGGTAAATCAACAATAAAATTCTGCTCTCAAAGAGTTTATCTTGCAAAGCATTTTAAGCAAAAAATAATAATTTAATTTTTTCCTCAATTCTGAAACTAGTTTACTCAAATTGCATTCAATATGCCAGTATCACTTGTGTTCAACTTAAAATCTCAACAACCTGTAGCAGTACTACATTTCATCGTACTAGAAGGTGAGGCACACACTGTGTGCCAAATTAACAAAATATATAATATATATATATATAAAGTAGTTGTAACTATTTGTAAGTGGAAAGTCAGATTTTACTTTTGCAAAATAAAAGTCCACAAAACTTCATGAACACCAAATTGGGTGCTCCCTCTATATATATATATATATATAAGTATATAGCTAACATTTGTTTCTATTTCAACAAGGTACTGCTAAGGACAAAAAAGATATGATGGGACTTAAGGCTTAGTTTGGTTTGGTTTGGTTTATATAAATACTTTACATGGAAGAATTTCTTACTTCACATGGCGACTGCGTTGTCACTTCTTTTAAGGTACTGCTCATATAAGGAATGATACTTTGCAGGGATATAATCCTTGAATCTGTCAACAATGACAACAAAAAGATTGAGATCCAGGAATGCTAAGGCAAGCAGATAAAAAAGACTTTCCACAAATATAGTTTGGATAATAACAGATAAAAGACTTTCCACAAATATAGTTTGGATTCATAGAATAGGAAAATAGCATAAATGAAAACACTACTTCCATGACTACTAAAAATCAGCTAAATGAAAAGATGCCAATAATTCTGCAGTGCTTAAAATCATTTCAAAACACTGCTCCCTTCTTCAATGTATATGAGACTTCAACTTTCAAATGGAACTAGAAAAGCTACAGGCTATATAGAAATAAGAAGCAAAATAGCTCAGTTAGAACAATATAATCATAACAATGAAATAAGAATAATAACAAACATATGAACAAAAGTCACCTGTTTCAATGAAATGGGAAAGGTCAGTCTCCCACATTCCTCTGGAGTCTTGACAATCTCCTTTGTAATATCCCTCCATGATTTGCAAACTGATGCACAAAAGACAACATCGGTCCTTGCAGGCCAGGTTGTTTCGCTCTCTTCAACCCTCTGAATTATATCCAAAAGCAATTCCGAAGGCAAGTTAGCCCACTTTCCTTGTTCAACTGGCTCAGAAGGGGCTACATCAGGGGCAATATGTGATCGGGTTAGGTTACACCAGTGCTTGCCTTCCACCCTTCGTTTTGATATACTCCCATTCCATCTTTCATCTCCCTCAGCTCGCGTACAATGCTTTTGAAGGACATCTCACCTGAACATACCAATCAATCCTTTCCTTCAATTGTCCAGCTTCAACCACATCAAAAAAGAAAAGACAGAAAAAAAACAAAAAAAAGTTTTCCCTTTTCATTACCTGGTTTTTGTTAAAGTGTATTGTAATTATCTTGATTACAAGGAATAAAAAAAACAAAATCATAAAAATGTTTCAAAGAAATTGAGCTGCAAATGAAAACTACTTGAAGAAAATTGAAGCAAATTCACAAAATTGAACAAAGCAAATATTGTAGCATTACCACAAAAACAAAAAAAAAGAACCAGCTATAACATTTCTGTGAATCTCCCATCAAAAGAAAAACAGAAGGTGCGAACTTTCACAGTCATGTGTAACTTCTATGGTCTATTTATCGATCCATTTCTAACTTATCTAACGAATTGTTCAAGCAATTCAACAAAAATGCACACAACAAAAGATAAATCAATTACAGCCTCAAAAATCCAACAGAATCAGCACAAATTACAGCAAACAAAAAATTTAATTAAAAAAAAAAGAAGAACATTAAGCACCAAAAACAAAAAGAAATCAGATCCAGAGAATACCAAAAAAAAAAAAAACAATCAAGCATTAATTACAGAGGAGAGAAGAAAATCATGAATTAACAGAACTCTGACTAGATCGGTGAGAGAGAAGTAGAGAATTCGGCGATTGAGACTCTGGAATATTCGGATCGCAGATAATGAGAAGACAGCATACACAAACATATACAGAAGTTGACGAAAAGAGATTTTTACTGAAAACGGAAGGATTCGAAGGAGCTTACCAACATATTTGATTCGAAACCCTCATATTTGGATCAGGTGTTCTTTGAAACCTTCAGATCTGGCTTTAATTAGTTCGAAATCCTTCAGATCTCGTCTTTTGTTCTTTTCTTCAACGAGCACCACCACCGCCATCCTCTTCCACCACTGTAGCTGTCGATCTGAGGCGATAATGAGAAGACAGCAGCGGCGGTGAGTGTGGATGAAATCGGCAGAGGAGAGAGAGAGAGAGAGATGAGTCTGGTGACAGGAGTGAAAATGAGCGAGAGAGAAAAAAAAAATGAAATCGAAATCAAAATCACTGAGCTTGATGCAGATCGACTTGATGCAGATAGGTTTACCTCTCAGCAAATGAAATCGATTATGAAGCTTGATGTAGATAGGTTTACCTCTTAGTGATTTCTATGTAAATGGAATAGGTAAGCAAATTAAATCACCGAGATGATTCCAATCGATTCCTATTCTGAAATCACTCTGAGATTTAAGGGATCACCGAGCTGAAGCGAGAGAGTGAGCGATAGATTTGAGGCATCTTCTTTCTGAGACTGAAGAGTAAAGAATGAGAGTCTCAAGCGGAAGGGAGAGGGTGTGAGAGATTAACACATTCGGAGGCGTTTTCTATCAGCTAAACGGTGCCGTTTTGATTAGCACAAAAGGCGACGTTTTTAAAACGCCGTTATATATTAAAAAAGACGACATTTAAGAAAACGCCATTATATAAATGCCGTTAAAACAAACATTTCTTGTAGTGTTCCTAAAGTGAGAGCAAAAACAGCAGCCAACTGCAGTTGGGCTTCAACTTTATCATCTGAGTACTGTTGAAAAAATTGGTTTATATAGGCATATTTTAGGTCAACTTTGAGCCCAAAATTGAGTGGGCCCCAAACGTCTTTTGGGGTGGGTCCGAAGATATGAAGTGTTCTTTGCCGCGTAGCAAGTCATACGGTGAAGACGGTTCGTCAAAACCATTTATGAGTGAATGGGAACATGACGTCGTTTTCGGGTTCGTGGAATAGGAAATTTAAGGAAGTAAATGTGAGTTTCTTTGGAAAGGGTTGTCCCACATTGAAACTTTAAGAGAGTTTATTTGTGTATATAAGCTCTAGCCTACAATACTTGGGTTGGGCCCCAAGGGGCACCCCAAGTTTGTAGAAGGGAGAAGTTATGAACAAAGTGAACCTTAGCCCAAACAACCACCACACGCGCACGCCGCCGCCGGCCGTCCGGCCGAGCCGTGCCGGTTGTGGGTCAAGTCGGTTTTTATATTAATTTTTTGGAGAAAATTCAATTTGAATTTTTTCCAAAATTAATTCTTTCATGAATATAATATTTCTGTCCAATTTCAGTCCAGGTTTTCAATCTGTTTTTTCGGACAGATTTATTTCTAAACTGTCCAGGCAGTTTCATGTTCAAATCTGGACAGTTTTCCTAACTGCCAATCTGTTCAAACAGTTACAGATCTGTTTGAATTTTGAATCAAATCTGTTCAAAATAGTTTCACACCTGTTCACTTCCAGATTGCACCTGTTCGGGTCAGATTTCTTTGCCTATAAATACCTACTATTCCAGTAGTTTTCGAGGATGAAAAAATCAGTCTGAAAATTCAGTTTTGTTGTCCTAAATTCTGCACTTTTGCATTATTCTTCATATTAGTTTTAGAATAAATTTCAGAGAGTTAGAACACAGGTTTGGTTCGCCGAACAAATTGTTTGGAGTGCTACTGCAATTTGTGAAGATCATTGTATCTTGGGCGATAGACACCACACAACTGTAAGCACCGTAGCGGGGCGAATCTGTCTTAAGGACAGAGTGTCACACACTCGACTTGGTTTTTAATTATTGTTACAGTTCAACAAAATAAATTTTATAAGTTTTATTTTATTTTGTTTAAATTATTTTAATTTATTTTATTTACACAAAAAAATTATTTCAACAAGTACCAATACGGAGCCGCAACCTTCCAAAACCTCCTCAAAAGCGTTGGAAGATCGGGGCCCTTTCTTTGTGCATCCTAATTTTTCCATTAATAAAAATAAAAAAATAAATAATAATAATTGAAATGCAACCTTAGAACATGGAGGAAAGTAAAGTTGAAAAAAAACAAAACTATATGTGAGAGAGAGACCTCATCCAGTTGGGGAGAAGACCCAGCAGAAGATGACGAAGAAGAAAGAAAAGTGGATGTGTCCCTCTTCCTCCTCCTTCTACTCCTCATTCGATAATTGCCGGTGGATGGCATGGGCATGGGCATGGGCATGGCCATGGCCCCTGATGGGAACTTATAATCCTCCAACTTTCAATTCTACCGACTTATCCGAAAAATATAAGAAGAATATAAAAAGATAAATTGGCAATTCGCAGTCCCTCAAATCAAACCGCCACCCCGAACCGTGATAACCATCCAATCATATGGTTTTATTGTAGGAGCGGTATCACCTTCGCATTATTAAATTTTTATTACAATGCCTTTTAAATTACAATAAATTTCTATAATCTTTAAAGGGTTAGGTTACTTCATATTCTCACATTTGAGAGAATTTTAGGGGTTTGACAAGTTTGTTATAAGTCTTATTTTAATAATTTAAATCGAAATAATAATAAATATTAAATTTTCTAACAAATGAATGTGGATCTCACATCTATGCGAAATATTTGGCCATTTATTTAGTAAAAAATTTAGAGTTTATAGCATTTTCTTTTAAAGCGTTTTTTTTATCTTATTTGAAAAGTTAGTTATTTAATTTTTTTTTTTGACTATTTTAGTTTGACTAAAATAATTTTGTTTGAGAGTTTGGTTGTTTTTTTAATTGATTCAGTGGTTATGAGAAAATAAAATAAAATAATTATAGATTGAATGTGATATTTTGTCTTATTAATTATTTTTAACTTATTTTATTTCTTAGTAGGCAATTTTAACTTGGTTCTCTTCCTAAACACTCTCTTTATAAGGCGTTTAATGTATATTATTCATAAAAATAATTAATTCAATTTGATAATTGAAATATTTTTAATTTATTTTAATTTATTTTATTTTTTATAAAAAAAAAAATTAAAAAACAAAATACAATTATAAGTGATACCTCAAATAACCGTTAGTTAGGTGAGGATTAAAATACCTGAAACTGAAAATGACCCGAATTAAATCGAGCAGGCAGGCAGGCAGGCAGGCACAGTAGTCGTAGTGGCTGATGATGAATTCATTAATGATTCGATGAGAGAGGAGATCGGTTGGGTTGTTTTTGTTGTTGACTGGTGTGGTGTGGTGTGGTGGTACAGAGAAGAGAAGAGAAGAGAAGAGAAGAGGGAGAAAATATGCCATTGCAAACTTGGAGCTTTTCGAGTGGTGTGGTTTGTCATAGATTGTCACACTCGAGGAACCGCAGGAGTTTCATTTCCGACTACCGCCTTCTCAAAAGAAAGACCAAAGCTTCTTCTGCTCCTCCGACGACTTTCGTATGGTATGTGTCACTTTTGGAACTGATGAAATCGCCCACAACAAGGTAACATAACCTATTATTCTACTGCCATTAGCACCTTTTTTTTTTTAACACAACCTATTATTCTCTTTTTTTTTTTTTTTTTTTTAATTATTATTTATTTGTTGTTATTGTTATTTCTATTATTTATTTTTTGTTTATTTGCCGGAGGAATTAAGGGGAATGAAATCTTCCGAAATTTCATAATCAAAGAAAATCTGGGCATCAATTTTGCATTCTCCTCTACGCATCCGATCACACTTGGGGGGGCATTATTATTAAGGTGTGAATTCAAATGTTCGTGACCCAACGCGGAGATAATGGCGGAACTGGGGTTTCGACTTGTTGAAATCATTACGATTTATTTATATCCATAGTTATTTCTTCATTGTTTTGAGCAAATAATTGTAAAAAGGTGGTCAATCCTTTGTATTGTGGTGGGTGGGTGGGTGCTGCTAAGTGAGCATAAAGTAGGGTGTGAAATGAAGTCTCACATCGCCTAGGTATGTCATTGATGTGTACTAGGTAAGTGTAAATTCACCCTCACCTCAAGAGTTAATTTTGGGGTTGAGTGCTATCTAAGGCCATCTAACATGATATTAGAGATCAGGCTGGAGGAGGTCTTTTGGTTCAAGCCTCTCCATTTGCATTCAATCTGTCTTCTAAGGAACAAAAGTGCCGAAAACACCATGTACCATGTTTTCGTATATGTATATATTTTTTATAACATCTCACCCCTACTATAATTATTTTTAATTCCGCCCTCCTCCCCCCTATTTGTAGTTATTTCTTCTAATTATTTACTTAATTTTATGTATGCATGTGTGTAGGTTCTCATTTCAGCGGCTGGGCAGCTGTCAAAGCCTTTCACTTCTGCCATCCTTTATGGCAACAGCAACAATTTTGATTTTAAGACAGTCTTTCGGTCTGGAGGGTTCCCTTCTACCCATTCCTCCGTAATGAATACTTTGTCACCACGTATTCATTCCTCTGTAATTAATTTTGATTTGTCGGTTGCAGTAACAATATCATGGTTCATTTCGTTTTCAATAGAATTTCCTATAATTTATAGTCTTCTCCAATTGTGACAGGCAGCTGTGGCCACCGCGATGTCCCTTGGCTTTGAATGGTGGGTAAAATTGGTAAAATGCTGCATTTCCTTTGCGCCCTCCTTAAGGTGGATGTTTGGAGATTCTGTGATGTTTGCAGATTTTGTATTTTTTTAACATTTGAAAGTGCATGTTGATTGGTTTGGTGTGGGTGGGTGAGCAAGTTGCTGATATATTTCTCGAGGAGGTTTAATATCTACTGTTGTTCTTATGATTGCAGAGGTCTTTCGGACGCAGTTTTTGGTTTAGCAGTTGTTTATGCTAGCCTTATCATGTATGACGCTCAGGTATACATGTAGTGTGTTTTTTCTATTTTATTCTCATCTCATATAGACTTATGCAGATCTCCTACTTCAGAAGGAAAAGTGTTTTATATTCATGAATCACAACATTGCATTGATGCAATTCAGTTTGGCTGCTTGGTTTACCAAAATCTGGGCACAAACCTACTTGTGTCACATAAAATTTTATCTAATACAGATCCACCCACATTAAGGATGACAGAAATGTCAGCTTTTGTTAGCAATGTTTCTTTGCTGAATGTTTGCTAATGAGAGTCCCACCACGTATCAGATTAAATTTAAAACAATATTTGGATTTAGGTCACATAATTAGATTTACTTTGAATTTCTGGTGATTCCATTTTCTTCTTCTGCACACCCACCCTTTTCTTTCCCTCTCTGAATTCTGATTGGGAGAGAGAAGGCTGTACTTGGCATCTCTTATAACTTTTAGTTATGCTATGTGCAACTACTGAACTTTTGGTTATGCCATCATCATTATAATCACTACTAATTCTATTACTGAGGCCCTTGCTATCTCTTCTAACTTTATGGTTGGTTATTCATAGACTTGACTCATCCTTGTTCAATGGTTTACTAATTGTCTATCATGTTTCACATTCAAGTGCTCTAACACCTCATTTGGGAGGTATTGGCGATTGAAAGTTAAACTAGATCCCCATGAAGATTGAATTATGTTTATTTTTTGAGAACCAAAAGATGTGCGACTCTAGTTTCTCTAGTGTATCAAACAATAGTGACCAAAACATGTTGATAGATCTCCAGCCCATTGTAAGATATGCAGTTGTTTCTGTGGGTAGATAATGAGTTCAGACTAACGCTCTGTTTGGTTGGGAGATTTGATGAGGGATTTGGAAAAGGAAATGGAAAATGTATGTGAAATGTGAATAAAATATACTTACATTTCACCTAATTTCACACACATTTTCTCTTTTTCTTTCTAAATCCCTCCCCAAATCCAACACAGCATAAAAGTATCAAGCCTCATTCAGAATTTTTACTTTTGCAAGGAGTGAGAAGGGAAGTGGGCATTCATGCACAGGCATTAAACAGGGTTTTGCTCCAGAACTCAGCTTCTTCGAATGATGCCGATGATTTGATTGATTCTCAACCTAGAAAATCATCCTCAAATTCAAAAAGTTTTGGGCCTTTGTTCTTGGAGGAAGCAGATACCTTTCAAGCAAAACAGACAAACACTAAACTATTACTTAGATCTGAGAATCGAAAGAGTGAAAGTGGTATCCTGATTTCATCTAGCTTAGCATCTGATGTTGAAGGAGAATCCAAAAAAATTGCAAATAGTTGGGCCATGCTAAAAGAATCTGTTGGCCACAATGAGATTGAAGTGATAGCAGGTGCCTTGTTGGGACTATTTGTTAGTTTTGCAGTTTATATCTTGACATGATATTCTTTCCCGCTTGTTGTTTTTGTTTATTGTAATATTTGGCACTCGGTTCAAGATTATTGCAACCAATAGCCAGCTATCCTTAAGCTTTAGTGGCACTCGGTTCAAAATTACTGTAACCAAAAGCCAGCTATATATCCTCTAGCTTTGGTTGCATCCGTTTAAGGATGGCAATGCACTTGCAAGATTATAGGGAAATGGATTAGTAGGAAATGTGGAAATGCACTTGCAAGATTATAGGAAAACAAAGTGTTAGTGTGTAGGAATAATTTGTTTTTAAAAAAAAAATTCCCGGAGCCGTAAACAGAAGTATACTTTTTTTTGTTTTTTTGTTTTTTTGTTTTTTTGTTTGGAAGATAAACAATAGTAGACCTCAAAGATCCCAATCCATACAACTTATTCATCATCCAGTCTGAACCCACCCCAAGTGTCACTAGCTAAACTAATTGTTTTAGGCTTCGTTTGGAAAGCAACTGGTTTAGCCAAAAAATTAAGAAGTTATTAAAAAAATTAAAAAGTTAACAACTTATACTAAAAAGTTAAAGATTCTCTTTTCTCTTTACTTTTTGCACATTGGAGCAAAATTCTGGGCAACAAGAATTTGGAAACTAAGCAACCAACCTATCCAAAACGCAACCAACCTATCCAAAACACAACCACAACAGTCCAATGGCTAAATTTAAGGAGATACAAGGGAAGCAAGACGTAAACAACAATTTGAAACCATTAAACCCGAGTCCGGGATACAACAAGAGTCGGGTCAAAATCAGAATCGCTATACTTGTGCTCCCATTTATATAAGCAAAAGAAGATTTTTAGTGAGAAACCCTATAATCAATATGTTATATTTCTTTTTTACTTTCTTACTCATAAGTGATAAGCAAAAAGAGATTTTTTTTTTTTTTATTCTCATACTCATAAGTGATAAGCAAAAGGAGATTTTTATCCATTGGTTAACTTCCATTTAACTTTTATTTTACAATCTCACATAATTTTGATTTTAAAAAATAATTTTGTATGAGATTTTGAAACTCTCATAATATTTAATTTAAAAATAATTACAATCCCACACTGAGAAAAGAAAGAAAAAGTCAGTTGTTTCACTTATATAAAATGTTATAATCCTACATCGGGAAAAGATAGAAAAGTGAGTTGTTTCACTTATATAAAATGAATCTTATAAAAGAAGTTTTAAAGGAAAAGTCTTCTAGAAGCTCCAAACATTCATTCTAAAATTATTGAATTTTCTTAATTTTAAACAATTAAGAAAATTCTCATTGACTAGCTTTCATTTAATTTTTATTTTACAATCCCAAATCGCGAAAACAAAAGGAAAAAGTGAATCGTTTCATTTACATAAAGTGAATCTTATGCTCCAATTTATATGAATTATTGAAATTTCTTAATTTTAAACAATTAAGAAAATCTACATTTGTTAGCTTCCATTTAATTTTTATTTTACAATCCACATCGGGAAAAGAAGAAAAAAATGAATTGTTTCACTTATATGAGCAAAAGAAGATTTTTAGTGAAAAGTCCTATAATCAATACCATTTTTTTTTCTTAAATTTAAATAATTAAGAAAATCTCCATTGATTAGTTTCCATTTAACTTTTATTTTACAATCCCACATAGACGTTTTGATTTTAAAAATAATCTTGTATGAGATTTTGAAACTCTCATAATATTTAACTTTAAAATAATTACAATCCCACATCGAGAAAAGAAAAGTGAGTTGTTTCACTTATATAAAGTGAATCTTATATTCTCATTTAATATTATAGTACTAGTGAATGCCCGTGCCTAAAGGCACAGTGCAATTAATGTTAGGATCAAGATGTAATTGTAATTTATACGTATCATATTAAAATTTATGAAACTTGTGTCATTTTTTGATAAAGATACTAAAAAAAATAAACTAACATATGTAGTATTGAGTTAAAATATGGTCAGCTACTAACAAAATGTTGAGAATACAAAATCCAACTTCGGTGATCAAATTTCTTCATACTGTCACCCAAAACCCAAATTGTTTTTCCCTTATTTTTCTTTAAATTCTCAGCAACCAAACAATGCACCGAAAGTAAATCATCCAAAAAATACCTTTTTGACACTACTTACTGGGATCCATTGATTATAAGTGCAAGATCCTTTGCCATTTTTCCCGATTCAACACAAGTTGCTTCCAATTTTTGAGTAAAATCCAACAGTCTAGCATTGTCATCTAAACTTGCCCTATTAAGATCAACATGGCTTATTTCAATCCAAGGTTGCAAGGCAAACTAAATTTAAAGTCTAGGAGGATCTAGAATAGCATAAACCAGCAGTAGCACTTAAAACCAAGCAATAACAATCTCACACCTGTGCGCAAGTCCTCTTGACCAAGCAAAAATAGATGCTATGCTATTTGTGCTAGTTTCACCTCCTTTCTGATGAACCCTATAATGGCGGGTGACTGTGCCATGGGCTGCCTCAGCTTCAATGGTCTTTCCATCTGGGCACACCTGGAGCCCATCCATATCCTCAAACACTCAATGAGGAAGCACATAAAAGAATGCATTTGAAGAGAAACATAAAAATTGACAGCAGATATACCAGCACTGATGTCATCAAACCAAGAGAACCAAAACCTGTGACAATGGGAAACAAAAGTCTGAGGGAAATTCGGTAATCTGAACTTTGATGAGAATAAATAATCTGATCTATGACATTGCCTCAGCTATGATGTTCCCAGAACAGAAAATTAAACATTCAATTCCACAAGCAGCATCAATATTCACAAATAACAAGAGCTTACTTGATAATCATTACCACAAAATTAACTAACCTTGTGCTAAAAAATCACTCTGAACATCTCCATCATAATTCTTACATGCCCACACATAACCTCCTTCACTCTTAAGAGCATAAGCAACCATGTCATCAATAAGACGATGTTCATACCTACCATCGCTAAGTCTTTCAGAAACAACTTCAATTGTAAAAACCAGCCAACAACATGCAGGATAATAGCTCACCATATCCCTGCAGCCTCAAACTTGGATTTCCATGACTCTTATAAACTTCTTGAAAAATGTCCTTGAATCTTTAGGAAAAAAAGAAAGAGAAAACAAGCTAACAACAAGAACAAAGAACTTACAATTTCCAACAGGTAAAAAGGAAAAAGATATTGATAAATTACACTGACATAAGCTTCTCCTTGAGTTTTCAAAACTACACCACCACCCCTTTTGGCTATGTTGTCAGTAACAGATTACCTCAATTACAGACTTCAGCATACTAAAAGTTCAAAATTCCGCTTTGCCTTATACAAGTTGTAGAAATATTATATTTCATAAATGCTAAATGCCCTTCTATGGAAATTTTGAATATGCCCTTGCTCATTTCAAGTTCTTCTAGAAATGTGGATGGCCCGTTAGCCCGCCCGGCCCAGCCCTATTTTTTTTAGGCTTGGAAAAGTTGTTTTAGCCCATAGGACCGGGTTGGACCAATATTTCCGGCCTTGGAATTTATATTTTCAACCTAGTCCGACCCGGCCCGCTATTAAATTAATTAATTAATTATATATACTCCCTCCATCCCAAAATAATAGTCCTTTTTGGGGAATCCAACTTTTTTGGTAGTACAATTATTGCACTTTAAAAATATTAATTTTTCAAAATTACCCTTTGATTTGATAGTATATTTTTTAAGAAATATCAATTGTTATAATTGTACATATTATTTTAGTCCTTGATTTTTTAAAAGGATATTTTTGGACAATGAAAAATGAAATAAGGGACTAATATTTTGGAACGGATGGAGTATTAAAATATATATTTTTTGTTAAGATCTAGACTTTATCTTTATTGATTTCATTGAAATTCATATTTGTGGTGATGTATGATTGAATTTATTTAAGAAATCTTTCAATTTATACACAATTTTTTAATTTATAATGATATCAATATATTTATTTAATAAATATAATGTGTGATTGAATTTAATTATGAAATGTTTAATTTTTATTTTTATTTTTTTAACATATACTCCGATTGGTGGACTTGGGGTTTATAATTATTTTTTGAGTCGGACCAGGCTGGGCTTGGGCAAATGTAGAAGCCCGATGTTAGGGGCAAACCGGGCTTAAGCAGACACAAAATCTCTTATTATGTAATGCTGCCCCGGCCCGATGAATGCCCACTCCTTCCATACCCATGGAAGGGTTATGTCCAATTCCGTAATCGATTTCTATGATCCTAAACTTTTTCTACTAATTTGGTTATAAAATAACACATTGTTGGTACATGGATCCAACCACACAAGTCACCACCACATTATTGCTTCATCACCCTTTGACTTCTCAAGCAAGTCTCTAGCACAATGTTTACACATCCTAAGGAGACATGTGGCCCAATTGAGTGCCATCACCTAGACAGACCAAGTCTACACACTATCTCCAAAGACTTCAAACTACCCGTGTGCCCAAAACCTCAGAGCTCGGTTCACTTGGCTTGCTAGTAGCCCCAGAGACCAGGCTTCAATTCCCAAGACTAAGGCTTGGTTTGGCATCTACTATATAATCCATCTTTTTATCTTTTTATCTTTTTTCCATCACATCACCTCTCTACTTTTCTGCACATCTTTTCGTAAAAAGACAAAAAGTGCACTTTTTTAGGACACCCCAAACCAACCCTAAAGCTCTTTGCCACGTTACCTAGGTTGGGAGTAAGGCCTACCTCGCTCAAGACCACCAGAGGACTTGCATAGAGTTCAAGGGTTTGTCCGAGCACTCATCTCAAACCAATCTTAGAGAGAAAATGGGCTTTGTCCTAGACATGTGATACCTCAATGGTTGTATCATACCATTGGAGATGGAGATGGATCACACCTAACACAACAGATGGAGATGTATCACAACTAACACCAGTTTGAACATTATACGACCCTATCTGAATTGGCTCGCTACTCTTTTCAACCCTCTTTGGATGTTATATTTGGGTTAGCAAAACATTGGACATCAACAATTTAGGCCTTGTTTGGTTTGCTTTTCAGAAAAAAATTTAGGAAAAATTCTCTATACACAAATTTTCAAAAGTAATCAAACCAAACA